GTAGTTGCAGATTACAACCCCCTTACTCCACCCTCCCCTTTCAAGCATGGAGGAAGAACTATGGTGGCCGTGAAACGCTTGAAATGGACAAAGAAAAAAAAAACATAAACTTTTGTTCACACCTGGTAAGAAAAATGCCATTAGGAGCGCTAGAAAAGAAAGCGCAAGAAGAACCTGATTTTTTTTTTTACAAATCATGTGTCTCATGTGCTGCTGTCAGGATAAAGTGAAGGTTTTAGCAAATATGACAAAAAGTTATTTTTATAAAAATGACCTACAGCAGCTTTAAAGAATATTTATCGAGATGTTACACTATGATTGCTTAAGCTACTACTGGACCAATAGTCCCTTTAATATAAATTCAGTGATTATTGACCGGTTGCCTCCTGATTTATACTGTGAGAAAAATACTGTCCATTTGCACAGTGGAAATAAAACATGTGAAACTAATGAGAAACGTTCCCAAAATATTGACTTAGCATCTCAAAATAATGACTTTGAGATAAGTCAATATTTTCAAAAGGTATTTTTTCCTGTAACATTGGCAGAAATAGGCTTCCATAGAAACAGTTGGAATATCAGTAAAGTGATGAAGATAAAGATTTTTGGTCGGAATCATGTGCGCGTGCACCGTGACCGACCGTGACAGGTGCCAGAACCGGATGTGGTCAGGGTCTCTCGCGGACTGTGAGGCCGGCAGGGTATATAAAGGTATGAGCTGACACCGGCGTGGCCTCTCCGAGCTGAACATCACGGTTGGATAAAGGGGGTCGCTCAGTGTTCGGGGCTTCCTTTGGACGTCCAGCGGCTGTCCTGAAAGGATTTAATGCGCACGAGTCACAGACACGAGGTGGGTCAGCTGTTTGTTTTTAATAAAACGCCGACGCGTGCGGCCATTAAAGCTGAAATCAGTCCAATATGGAGCCAAAGTTTCCACCGCTCCTATAAACTCTCGTTAAAAGCACATTTAGCTGCAAAGTTTGGGTGGATTTTGAATCGACTGCATGACATCGGGACTTGATTGCAGCCTGACTAATCTGGTGCCACAGCTGTAATTGCTCATCATATCCTCCTTAATTGGCTAACTTCACATTCTGCTAATGTCACTCCCCGCCCAGCCCTCAGGAGAGGTATGACTGGCGGAAAAGGACGCATCACATGCACGCAGGGGTGTTTAATCATATATAATACATATTCTTGCATGCTGTTTGTGCTGTGCGTGTTTTTGAGCTTCTGCTGTTGCTGCTTTCCTGATTCATCCAGAGAGCACGCTGTAAATGCAGTGTCACAGGGTTGGATGGCTGCCCAAACTGGGCCGAGTCCATCTCTATTGAAACGCACAGCTCAGTACCAGCAGCATCTCTCCTCTGTTGCAGCTGCATGGCACACAAACAGCACTGCTCACTGTTTGCATTCTTACATTTTCCTCTTCTTCCAGTGTGGAGCTCAACATGGTGCAGCTGTCTCCTTCCCCCACCCTGGATGTCACCCCTCCACCTGAGCGCTCAAAGGAGGGGGAGGAAAAACTGGAGGACCCTGTGGCGGCCGGGAGCCCAAAGGTGGGCTCGCCCGGCGGTCTGAGCGCCCTGCAGCTCGACCTGGAGGCCTCCACTGCCTACCACGGCTATGAAACCTACATAGATGATGGTCTCATCTGCCTCAAACACAAAATCCGCAACTTGGAGAAGAAGAAGGTAGGGTGGCGATGGGGCATAGTGAATATGAAGATCTGGACAGATGGAGGCAGGCACTTGACTTTGATATGTCTTGTGTGCCCACAGCTAAAACTGGAAGAGTACAAGAAGAGGCTGGACCAAGGCGAGGCACTGAACAAGGATCAGATGGTGAGACCTGGCTTTTGAATTGAAACAGGATGCCACCATCATGTATGTAAATGTGTTTGGTGTTTGTGCACATTTGTTTTCCAGGCAGCTGTGGAAAAGTACGAGGAGGTGCTGCATAACCTGGCATTCGCACAGGAGCTGCACAAAACACTGGATGGCTTGACTCAGAATGTAAGTCCCTGACTATTCTTCACTCTGCCCCCACTGAAGGTTAATTGTGATTGAAATCCCCGGGTCTCTCTCAATGTCCCCTCGCTTTGGAGAATCAGATCTGTTTAGCTAGTTTAGGTGAGCGCTCTTCAATAGGTTGATTAGCTAAACATCTGCAATCAAGTATTTAGATTTCTGGAAAGCAGTTTGCTGAATTTAGATTTTTATCTTATTTTTTTTTATTTATTTGGCTGTGTTGATCCCATATTTGCATTGTAAATCTACTCCTTATTAACTTTTCAAGTAGAAATGCCAAAAGTTGTCCAGCTCCAGCTTTATAATTTACTGCTTCTTTTCTTCTACAAGATGGTAAAATGTGTATATTTTAAGGTTTTGGACAAAACAAGAGATTTGTGAAGGGTAATTCTTTTGGAGATGAAACGATTCATGAGAAAATAATAATCAGATTAATTGATAATGTAATTTAGCTGCAGCCCTACAAGGAGTGATTTAAAACAAGGATGTAGAGCAGTGGTGTAGTGGTGCCTGGAGAAGAGGGTATACTCTTTTATACCCCAGATTCTTAAATTGGCCTGTCCAAAGGATAAACGCCCTGTGTCAAAACGGTGACACATTTGACTGCTCTTGTAGCCTATATTTAGTTCACCAAAAAATGGGTCAATAATTTTGCATATTGTCTCTTAACTTCTAACCGGTGTGATACTAATATTTACGGAGTTGTATCAATATTGCCCAGTTTGCTTATCTAATAAACATTTTTTATCATTTAATCAATAGTCAATGTCAATCCAATGCTTTTCATCTTGCATTATTCCAGAGTTGTATCTAAACATTGACTGAGAGACTATATAATCATAACGTAATAGTTGTATTTCACTCACTTTTGTCAGGCACGAGGTCACAAAGCCCAGGCTTGGAAGCTGAACTAGCCAATCAGATGCAGACTAGGGTTGGTCATGCCTTTGCCACCCTATCAAAAAATAAAACTACTGAATGATGCGCATCAGAGGGGATTTAGAGATGGGTATATTGAATGCTGACTGAAAAAAGTAGGCCTACCACTACACCACTGGTTTCCAACCTAGGGGTCGCCAAAGCTTCAGACACCAACTTGTGACGCTAAACGGCATGACTTGACTTTAAAGGAATCATTCAGATGGTTTAAACAGAAAAAGACAAGATGCTAATTGGTTAGCTTTAGAACTTTGTGAGTGAGCCAGGCTAGCTGTTTCCCCCTGCCTCGAGTCAGTATGCTAATATCAACTGCAGGCTCTAGCTCCAATCAATGCACAGCCAGGAGGAGATAAAAATTTGTTTTACTGAAAGATTTTTAAATTTGTTACAATATATTGACATTTGATTTTGGCGCTTTACGATAATGAACCTGTGGAGTTTCTACAGTAACTTGATTGCTCCACTTGTGCTCCAGCATCCAACAGTTGATGGGGGCTTTGACAACATTGCCTGAACAAACTGTGAAGGTCTCTGACTGTGACTCTGGCTGAGTTCAGCAGCATGTTTTCAAACTGCTCTATGAATCCTCATCCTGCAGTTGCTGAGAGCCCAGAGGAAGGTGGCAAAGAAGGAGCAGATGGCGAAGGTGGAGGCGGAGCAGAGGCGTCTGAGCACTGTGCTCCAAGTCCAGCACCTCCTCCACGGCCTGCAGCAGGAGCACGTCAGGAGAGACCTGCTGACTGGACACAACCAGGCACCCCACGTCACAGCCCAGCAGCTGCATAGCCTAAGTCAGCTCGCTGCCCTGCTGGGAGTGAAGAGGGACAACAGACTGAGGTAAGCGCCCTGTATCTCGGTCATTGAAGAGAAGCTGCTAGTGTCAACTCTTGGGGTGTAAAAATGAGTAAGTGGACCATAGTATCTGCAGGGAGTTGATGGCTCATTAAACTATACAGTGACTCTGCAATTACTGGACACCCTCTGGCCCTCAACACTGTGTGCCACAGTTTTTCAAACACTAGTATTTCAGCACATTGCCAGCTTCCTCTCATGCTGCCCGTTCATTGTGGAAGTTTGTGCAACAGTCGGATTTCATTCATTTTCATTTTGTCACCTCAACTCTCTCCATCCTCTAAGTGGGAGAAGACTGAGATTGAGGTGGACAGTTTCATAACTTATTACTAAAATAAGTGCTGGTTGGTGGATTGAAATGTATACTGAATTATGCAGACTCAACACTGTAAATTCTGTCTGTATTTGATGTATTGTTCGGCTACTTCAGACTACTTGTATGAAGGTGAAATGTCATTAAGGAATATGGTTAAAACAGTGCCTTACGAGGCGCTACACAAACGGTGACGTTCAGAAAGTTTAATCGCGTATTTGATCATCAGCTGTGTAATGCCTTTTATACATCAAAGGCTCACAAAACCTAGAAAAGACTTTGGCAGAGGATAGACCTGTGTATCCTCGCACATAGTTCTACCAGCAAGCCTCCTTGCTCCTCCAGACACAATTTAGGAATTGAGTTATCCTTCAAGATGTAATACTGATTTCCAGTTCACAGGAGGAAAGAGTAGATGGGACACAACAGAGAAATGAGAGGCCTAAAAAAAAAATGAATGCTTTCCTATTTAGAACATATAGTCGTGGTGTACTTTCGCCTTGTGGCCAAAATGAGTGCTTATTTCAGCAGCATGAGATAAAATGGCAATAAACCTGTGTGCTAAAACTGTCATGGTGAAAATGTACATTGAAAACCTGAATGAAGCGTAACTGTATGTAGTAGTTTAGCAAAAAGGCTGGCAGGGGCTTCGGGCTCTTTGATGACTTCTCCTGTCTTGTTGCAGTTTAGGGGCGCAGATGGAGCAAGCGGCTCTGGTCTACTTGGACCTGCTGGAGGGGAAAGACAAGCCAGTGGCTGGATCCACATGTGAGTATTAAACGTATGGATATCTGAGCTTACAGTGGATTGTGCCTCGTACTTTGTCATCCCACTAAGCCAGGCTAACATGCTCTGGTTGATCCTCATGCCACTAACTTCAGTTCTTCAACGGTAGAGGGCAAATTTATGTGCTTATATTTTAACAGTCATTACTGCTGTTGTAGCTACATGATTGAAGCCATAAGAAAAATATCTTCAGTGATATACCCAACTTTACAGCAGAAATAAACCGGTTTACAGCCTGGTACAAAAACGCTTTTGGCTTTTAATAGCCAATTTCCCTGTTCACGCCAACTGTACGGGGGTGAAATTTTTATGTAACTCAGGTCTGGACTGCCAAGCTGGTGACGGCCAGAGCCGACCAGTGTGGCTCTTCACAAACCTATAAGTCTCTTTTTATTCATACAGTCTCATTCATACAATCAACTGGGTTCCTCTTAGCTTTTACCCATCAATTCTCAGTTATGAAAACATTCTAAAGTAATGTGGAGATTTCAGAATGCTGCAATTGCTACAAATTGGTCCAGCAGCACAACAGACAAGCATTTAGAGGTTGGCCAAACTTATTTGAAAGAGAAAACAAAGGTGAATTCCTGTCTGTTGTAAAACTATCTTAGGTTCCAGACCAAATAAAGTTGTTTCAATGATCAATATCAGCTGTTGGCTTATTTACAACCTGACTGCTCATGTTTCTTGCCCTCTTGTATGTACTTTAAGCACCAAACCTGTAATAAAATGTAGTTTTCCTGCAGGGTAAATGGTAAATGGATGGACCTGTACATGTACTTGTATAGTGCCTTTCTAGTTTTCCGACCACTCAAAGCGCTTTTACACTACTAGGATCATCTGAAGTGGGTTTCCTTTTGGCTTTTTTTTTTTTTCAGTTAAGCTGTTAAAGGAGGAGCTCACCAGGCTGTTGAACTGCAAGTACTTCAGTTGTCTTCCACCTCCACCCAACAAGTCTCCAGAGGCAATACAGAGCTCAACCAGCCACAGCAGTAAGAAAACTCTCTACAATGTGACTAATGACCTGTGGGTGTTAAAGGTCTAGTGTAATCTGTAGGAGGATCTCTTAGCAGAAATTGCTTTAAATACTTGTATGTTTTTATTGGTGTATAAAAATAAGAATTGTTTTTGTTTTTAAGAATGAGCCTTTTTTGTTTTTGAGGGAGGTCCTCATCTACCGTGGCCACCATTGTTGAACAATGTTTCTACAGTGGCCCAGAATGGACAAACAAACACTGACTCTAGATAAGGCCTGTAGCAAGTTTGCAGCCATTGTAGTTTCTCCTACATGTTTGGAAGGCGAGTGGTATTCAGTTGGTTGCAATCTGTGACTTCACCGCTAGATGCCACTAAATCCTACACACTGGCTTTTTTTTTTTTTTTTTTAAATGGTGGCGATGAGGGTTAGACTTTAAATAGTTGAGGTTTATTAATTTAATGCTTAATTTACTCCTGAAAATACTATACCTTTTTGCCTAGTCTGAAATGGAATTGCAGATTCATTTTTCTTTTTTTCGTTCCTCCCGTCAGCTACATCAAAGTCAAAACCAAATGAAGTTTCTAAGGAGGTAAGACTGATATGCACTTTGTGTCTTTTAAGTTGTATTTCAGTGCTGTGTTTGTGACTCTGAGCATGCTCCAGGATCCACTGATGCTCTGTTGGTGATATGGCAGTTTTTCAACAGACTGTACCTGACAGACACTGAGACCCCTCCCTGCACTCAGAACTGGAAGGAAGACTTCCAGGCCATGAGGGAGCGGGAGCCTCCTGACTGCTGGGATATGGAGCTCTCGGACAGAACCGCCTCTCCCCAAGCTGCAGTCCACAAACCATGGAGAGGAGCAGCCACTTTCATCCGCAAAGTCCCTGTCACCACCAAGAAACCTTCTGCTGGCTGCAAACAGGTGAGGTGTCATCAAACTCTCTGCGCACTGGACTGGTATAAAACTAGATAACTTGAACATTACAAAAGTATAGGAACTTTGAGGGAAAATTTTCTGATTTGTCAAGTACCTGCAGCATTTTATTTCAGCCTACATTTCTCTAAATCTGCAGCTGCTGTTTGTTCATTGTGATTTGCTGCTGCTTCTGTGTTGACAGGTCAAAGTCTGCAGCATATGACCAATCCCAAACTTGGTCATATGCTATGTGACAAATGCGAAGAAGCTGAATACGAACATTTTAAACAATCCAGGCTACATGCAGGAAGAACAAAAAAATCCTGAATGTCTAAATGAGTGGTTCGGAATATAATTCCATTTGTATATTGTATTAAAATAAGGTGATGCTTAGACATATTCCTATGGTATGAATGTAACAGTTTTAGTCTTGTTCTCTCAGCCGCAGCCCTAACAGTGTCAGCTTTTGGACATTAAAAGTGTGGGCACTGAATAGTGGTCGGGTCACTTTCAAGAACTTCTCTTCAAAAATCAGACTCATTTATTTAAACAAAAACCCCACCGAACTCAAATGGTCCAAACATTGTTCAAAATGAACAAATCTCCATTAATGCCATAAAAATGTGACTGTATAATGAAACAAATGAAACTTAAAGTTAGAAGAAACTAATTCATATTAAATTCGAATACCAAAATATATGCTCCTAATATTTAACATTAGGCTGCAACAGGAGGTGTGAAACTGACTTGAGCAGGTCAGCTGCTCAGCATAAGTTACATGGCGATGTACCCTGGTAAGAAGTGAACCACTGTAGGACTGAACTCCGGTAATCCTGAAGTTACCTTGACAACCCAAATACTGCTTCGTAGTAACTGCCCCAGGCCTCATTGTTGTATAATCACACACAAATGACAGGCTGAAGAAACCGTTTTAGGCCCTTGAAAAGTAGTTTGGGTGGAAATGTGGCTAATGTCAAAAATATGTGTATTTGTTTCCAAAATGATGCACATTTCTTAGGTTTGAAATATCAATATCTGGGAGTCTTTCAGGAAGTTACAAAAACTGTCACATCAGCATCATCTGTGTTCATTTGCTGAGGTTGTGTGAGGATATTTAGGATTCAGTGTTGAATGGAAGCACTGTCATACTGTACACTAATTCTCCAGGGTGAACTCAGGAGGGCAAGAAGGAGGGAAGAAAGGGTCTGTTTGTTTTAAATTGTGAACTGGTGAGCTGATCTGAATTGTAATGCCTTTTTGTACAGGATGTTCTTTACATCTCTCCAAACGATAATTAATAAACTATATTCTCACCAGAGAAAAGAGAGGAGAGCCAAAGGAGAGAAACATGCCAAGTTGGTGAGTACACGCAGCACATATTAAATGTACACCTCTAAACAATTTGCAAACCACCCTCATGTGATTCCTGACAGGCAGTTCACATGGATATGCCTGTGGAGGTTTTCGACTCTCCATCTGCCTTACCCAAAGACCCCATCCTGAGGAGGCAGCACCTAGAGGATCTAATGACGAAGATCCATGGCTCCTTCAGTTTCATACAGGTGGAATTGCAAACCCACGCACATCTCCTAAACCACCCAGTGCAAGATGAAACTATAATTTTGAGTATTTATTCAGCTTTGACAGTGTTGGCAAGGTAGGGTTTTAAACTGATCAGTTTTTTTTTTTTTTTTTTTCAGGACTCTCTGCTGGATGGTGAGAGCTCCCAGACTAATGGCCACCCCAGACTGAAGAGATGGCCGTCTAGATCTCCCTCTCCTCTTGGTAACTTGGAACCAGTCAAAGCTTTGTAATTTCACCATCTCAACTCGGGTCCGCTCTCTAGCATTTTCTGGGGCCTTAAACCTTTATGAGTTAAAGGAGTTTGTTCATTTAATATGGGAATGGATCTGATGGTGACGCATCAAAACTCTTCTTGCTGTAGAAGACCATGGGCCTGTATTGCAAAGGGAGTTCAACTCCGTCTGGCTCTTTTAGTTACCTGGCCTTACACGGAGCCTATGTAGCATTGTGTTTTCGTGAGTAGCATTAAATGAAAACATTTAGTTTAAAAGAAACCTTCAAGGTACTGGGTATGGGTGGTAAATGCATTTAAGCACATTCATATGAAAATCTGACTTTTGTAATGTCTTGGATTTATTTTTTTATTTTTTTCTCCACCCAATTAACAGCTCACACTGACTTGAGAAGTCCAGGTGATGTCCTGCCCAAAACGATGCATGTAAGCTGTCATTTTTTTTTCTATCTGTGATAAGTCAGTTGTGACATAAATTGAAATCGCTTGGACTTCACGTCATCACTTCATCCTCCCCCCCCAACTCAGTCCACCCCACTGCCTACCAGGCTCATGGAGCGCAAAGCCAGTCTTACAAATGGGGATCAGTGCCTGGAGACATGTGAGCTGGAGCTTTCCTCAAAGGACCTACCTCCTGTAAGAAGCACACTGGCTATGATATGCAGCATATTAACCTGGCATTTCGAAGTGGCTAAAGATGGCTTGTCTCCACAGGAGCCACTGCAGTTGGCTGAAAGGAAGAAGTTTCCTTCACCGCCGCTGTACCGCAGGGAATCGACCATCTCTGTCAGTCTTGAAGACAAGAGTCGTCCCTGTGTAAATGAGCATTCTTGGCCATGTCAACAGACTAAGCGCCTAAGCTAATGGGAAGTGATTTTAATGCAACTTGTGTGTTCCACAGACACCGGTAACTGAGTCAGGGAAGCAGTCCCCCTGTAATGGGGTGGCATCTTGCTCCCCTCCCCCCCCTCAGGGACAGACTTTCTCTGCACCCCCTACTAGACGAACTCTGACATCTGCACAGTTTCAGAACATCCAGTCAGTAAGTCTTAACAAAACTACACACCATTTTCTTTTGGTTTTAATGCTATTGAGGCCCAAACGTTAGAAGCTTCTTTTCCTGTAACAGCAGTATGCCACTATTCGATTCAATATGTAAATCTGGTACATGGATCTGGCAGACAAACTGACGAACTTGGTGCATCCCAGGTCGGGGAAGCAATACAAGATTACACTCCAGGGATTGCCGCAAGGTCAGGTAATTTAAGCCAGTGGAGAACCATGGCTACTGCACTTTTGGTTGTCTTGTACACTGTAGCAGTCCCTGGGGAGCAAAGAACTCAACTCTCAAATTTCAGTCAGTCTCTAATACTACTATTGTATTTACACTTGTCTCACTTGACATTAGATAGCTATCCGATACGCCCAAGATGCATGAAATGTAAATGGGTTGGTCTGGGTTCTAACGGCATCAGACAGTTTGGTAGTGGCCACCAAATGTGTCATGTCTGCAAATACTTTCAAGGGTGTGTAGTAGGGTTTGGCAGGTTTGGCAGGCTGTAACTGTAGTAAAAAGCCAGTTTGTCTTCCTGTGCTGATCCAGTAAGGCAAGTGTTTTTTAAGTCCAAACCTTCCATAGTTACCATAGTAGCTATGGAAGGTTATCCAACAGAACAAATCAAATTTGAGCACAGGAGGCATACTCCTATACAAGTACTACTTGTGGTCACTCCAGATGCGAACTGCAGTCCATCTTAATTTGATCTGGACACCATCTGAATGCGGCTTGCACACTTTCTGCATGCTTCTCTGGTGTCATTTTCTGCTCACTGCAGGTCTTCAAGGCAAACACCTCCTTACCTCAGAATGGGGAACTGAACTATAAACCAGATTCAGCAGTTTTCCCTGAACCCAGGTACAGCACTGCCAGTACCCAAACACCACCGGAGTTTGCTCCCTCAGAAGATGAAGCACAGCCAGGTATATTGATTATATTTTTTTTTTTTAACTGTCACACCACTGGGTTGAATAGTCAGGTTTATGAGACCCGTTTTGTGCTGCATCGTCTCTCTAGTCTACCAGTCAGATTATACGGTGGGTAATGGTGGGCAGATCTTCCTGTCCCCTGGCCAGTCGGGTGGAAGCGTGGGTCGACCCGGCCAGCCTTACTACACCAGAGGATCTGTGAGAGGTATGGCACGTGGCGGCAAGGGACTGGCACAAACCTTTCGCTCTTCTGGTTGGCATCGAGGTATCTATCCTCAGCTCTCCTTTTCCCCTTTTGGGGTTTTCACCACTGCTGCATTTCCCTCCTCTCTTTTTGCTAGACATCTGTTCAGGATCTGGTGTTGTAGGGTAGTTTTGTCACATTGTAGCTAAAGCTCAGGCTGAAATGAATCTTTCTGTGGTAGTTCTGAAGCTGAACCCTGATTTCTTCTACTCAGGCGGGGCATACATCCCCCAGACTCATTTCAGGGACTCTGGCCCTCTCCTCTATGCTGCTCGAGTAAGTAAATCCCTTTTTTCTTATGTTGTGGCCTTATTGGCTCTGGGACTGAAGCAATACTGTTACTAGTAGGGCTGCACGATTATGACATATATTTTTGTTTTTTTATGATAATTAACGATCAGACCTAAGGAGTATCATATTTTTTTTCACAAACGGAGATCCCCGCCCGCAGCTCCCTTTCAATTAATTCACTTGTTGTTGTGCTGGTTTCAGAACACTGGAGGCAGCAAAAGGAACTATTTTGGTTTTGATAAAGTAGTCAATATTGGCGTTTTCCATCATTTCCATGATCTTCAAGTAATAAAAGCATCCAGGCTGCAGCTGCAAGGTGTGCGTGCAACTGCCCAAAAGTCAAACCATAAGGTCTCACCCATGTTGGCCGGCTGTTCTGAAAGTACGGAGTTTTCTGAGCCGTGCACACATTCATCAATATTGTAAACGATATGTTCATTTAATTGTGGGAAGCCAAAACAGTGTTAATTTAATATTCAATTAATTGTACGGCCCTAGTTACTAGTATATAGAGTGGATTTTCTTGGTTGGATCATAGATGCTGTACAATAAAGACATTTGAGTTGGCTGTTTGAAAAGTAGACCTGAGAAACAAGCCCCTGGACATTCTCTTTTGGGCGTTCATGGTCCATGATTTATTCAGGCTTACGCAATAAGAATTTCTTGATACAGCTTTTACAAGGTGGATTATTATTTTACAACACGGGTGCATAAATGTAATTAAATTGTAAATCCTTTTATGTTACTCAAAGCCAAATGCTATATAAAAAAACTATTTACAGTAGATGTGTGACTAAGTCATAGAAATGATAAAACCACTTTTCATGGAGTGCTGAGGATGACTTAAGCATTCTCTCAGCCTGAGGAAAACCACTGATCTGGAACCTAGAAATGCTAGAAATTGAAAAACCTACATGTTTAACTGTTCGTATTGGCTTCCCGTTGGCCGTGTGACAAGAAGGTTAAGTGTTTTTGGTTTTTTTTCGTCCTTTTTACAGTGTACTGTACAATAAAATTTGTGTCTGATCTGCTGAACAGAGAAGCAGACGACCAAAGTCAATAATGCAGCAAACAATCACAAGCCAAGACATCCGTATGCCTGGACAAATCCCTTTGTTATATCCAGTTCGGTCTTTGAACGTTTAACACTCTTTTTGATGTTTTCTCAGGACTCTGGATACCAACATGGCTATAGACGTGGAGGAGGGAGGCATAACTCTAGTGGTAAGAATGTATGCTCTAATTCTGAAGTTCTAAACAGGAATCTATCCCTTATGGAAGAGCTTTCACAGCAAACACCTGTTTGAGCTCTTCTCAAAAGGGTCGTAAGCTAGAAGGGGTCAGTATCGTTAGAATTTTGTCAATACTGCTGCTTCCATGTGGTTGGTTGTTGATGCCAAGAAGCATATCTATGTGAATAGCAGTATTGACCCCTGGTAGCTCTCCAAGGAGAAGAGACTACCTCTCTCATTAGAGTGGAATGTTGCTTGGCATGTCAACCAGTGTTCCTAGAATGAAAATCTCATTCATGTCTCCAATGGACTGGTTGCGTTTCCAACACTTGTATGGGCAGGAAAGTCCCCTGGGAAATGCAGTGACTGCATTTGGGTAGATGGAAATCTGCTTTATTGGGATAAAGTCAAAAGTACAAGTCTGTACATAACTTCTCATTAACATCTCATGCCTCTTCACATACTGCATAGAAATGTAATGTGTACTTACAGGGCAGAGTTTAGATGTATGACACTGAAGTTCCTTAAACATAATTCAAAGCCTCAAGTGCCACCTTAAACTACTGTGTGTGTGTGTGTACTCTAAACTAGCATCGATTTGTTAGACCTGAAGTAGATGTCATTGATGTTCAAAAACAGTTCACGGAAGACTGGAAGATAGTTTTGTACCATTGCTCTTGTGTGAGATCCTTTTAATTTGTTTTCAACGCTATAGTTTTTGCTCTCACCTAAAAAGCTAAAGGTTGAAGAGAACCAAAAATGCGTCCCTAAAAGCCAGGTTAAAAAGAACACTCACTCCTTGGTTAGATATTTCTGGGGCAGGAGCGAGAAAGTAACAGGAAAAATGTTCTAAAGGTTGTGTGTCCAAATATCAAGACAACCTTTATTGCTAGTCCAGATCAGACCTAGATTCATTACACCTTGTCAGATTTAGATTTATAACACATTCAGGTCATTTGCCGAGGTCGAAGTCACAAATTACAACTACTCGCGTTACTGCAGTTAAATTGTTATTTTGGTCATTTTATTCTTGAGTATGCATTACACTATGTAATCCACTCTGCTGCTTTTTAAAATGTATATAATTTGCTACTGAGTAGGCCAACAATTTGAATTATATCCAAACCTTTTATCTGCAATTTTGTAGCCAATCGCCAGGGGCCCACAATGCAAAAGCACCCTGAAGCACTGCCCGCTTCCTTTTGGCACCTGTGTTAATCATCAGACAGAGCTGCTGCGATAGTTTCAGTCCTATGTTTTTCGGCACGTGGCAAGCAACACTGCAAGCTAATGTGAATCATAAAAAACAAATGCTACAGCTGTACAGGTTTGGAGAGGTGACCACACTGACCAGAACAGTGCAGGAGTTGGCAGTAATTTGAGGACTGAAGATTTGGAGATTTGCCTTGAGCAGATAAAATTCCTGCTTTAATTGTATATTTATTTGGAAAATAAATTACTAATAATCATTACTTTGATCCATTCATACTTTTTTAATCTACTTAAAAAAGCAAAACATTAATTACAATGTAAGTAGGTACCTTCACATGGATCTGTTCTATTGAATGCCTAACATCAGCAGTTAAAGCAACTCATACATACATTTATTTAAAGGTCCAGTGTGTAGGATTCAGTGGCATGGACAGTTATTCCATTCTGGGCTACTCTAGAAACAACCCAGCAACCCACGGTGTCTGTAGATTAAAAACAGCCCACATTTATTTTCAGGTGATAACACACTAATGAAAAGATATGAACATTTTATTCCATTTCTGACAATAGATCCTCCTAAATGTTACACACTGGACTTTTTTTTTTTTTTTTAAAACAGCAGTACCATTGCCATCACTGGTCACACTTTATTGCTCAGTATCAGTGCACCCTGTGATCGACACGTCTTTTTGTCACGACTCTGCAGCAGCGTGGAGTGACTCCTCCCAGGTGAGCAGCCCAGACCGGGAGGGGGCCTTTACAATTATGGACTCAGGCCATGGGGATTCCCTGTCAGTCTCCACCTTGGAAGTCCCTCTCACTCCCCACGGCCACCATCACGCCACGTTGCTTCCCATGCAACTCTACCCCCTCACCCAGCCACTGCGAGTGGCCTTCACCGCCTCTCGCACCGCCAACTTTGCCCCGGGCAACCTGGACCAGCCCATAGTTTTCGACCAGCTGCACAGCAACCTGGGGGAGATGTACGACACCCACATCGGCCGCTTCACCTCCCCCATCAGTGGAACCTACGTCTTCATCTTCCACATCCTGAAGCTCGCCATCAATGTGCCCCTTTACATTAACCTCATGCGCAACGAAGAGGTGATGGTGTCGGCGTATGCCAACGACGGAGCCCCAGATCACGAGACGGCCAGCAACCACGCCATCCTGCCTCTTTTCCAAGGAGACCAGGTGTGGCTCCGGTTGCATCGTGGTGCTATCTATGGCAGCACCTGGAAGTACAGCACCTTCTCTGGCTTCCTGCTGTATCAGGATTGACCTACTATTGAATGAACGGCCCTCTTCTCTCTCAGCGTGTGGACTGTTTGCTTTGCACTAAATGGTGATTGATTAAACTAACATTTCAGTATTGTGGTCAGGCTGCATGCCAGTGCCCTTTTTTTTCCCACCAGAAAGCCCATTCATAACAACTGTCAGTGGCCAGATGATACATGTATGATCTGCACTCAGCCTGCCTTTAGTAATGGGGATTGTGACTGCTTGACATAAACCAAATGTACTTGATTCCCCATGAGTGTGTAGTTGACGGTGGTGCTCCCTGTGACAATAATACTAGTACAAGTGGGCTGATAACATGTCATCTTGCTGTAAATCCTCCTGTAGCACTTTACCTGTTCAGCCCACAGGTCACTGATTTCAGTGAGAACTCTAATGCAATGTTATGAATTTGTGCCTTTTTTTTGTTTTCTGAATGGCTTTGGATGACTGACCAGTTGTTAAATGGCTGAACTGAATGGCTGATTTATTGGATGAATTATAATTGACTCAACCATCAGCACATTGCTTGATGCTGGGCTCCTATGCATTCAGTCTCACCTTGCTGTGTGAATGTGAAGCTGAGGAAGGAAAGATTGTGTTCTTGGTGGTGGGTATGGTGTTGAACACTTGAGGCCAATTTGTTGCACTAACAGACTACTGTGGGGAGATGGAAGTGGTCCCTTGATGTGCCTAAATAAAAGATGAGCCATTAAACTTGTGTTCGTCGCAGTTTTTGCCACGCTTTTGCACTTACAGGTCTAATTTTAATAAGACCTCCATCTGTATCTCTGTTGCATTAAGTTGTCTACAGCACTGTATTTACCTAAACTTTAATTTTCCAGACACTGGGGCTGTAGGCCTTTCACCTGTCCATCTTGGGTAGAAAGTCTATCTAAAATTGCAATAACCGCTCCAATAATCCACTCCACCAATTTTAAAAGCTCAACAAGATAATCTGGGGTTTAGTAGATTCTGGCCTATATCCTAAACTGCACATTGCAGAATATATTTATTAGATACTAGCTCTGTATACTCCGCATGCAGAATTATGTACTGGGACAGATATCCCAGTTTATCTGGGATTGTACAGTTTCAAGCTGGGTGTCCCTAGTCCCAGTAAATATGTCAAATGCCAAAATGTTTTACTACCAAATTGTCCTGGTTTTCACCATAATTAAAGTGAGTGATTAATGAAATCTCCCGAATTGTCGACAGGATCGGTTAAGATCTAATGTTCTGTGTGTTAACACATTCAAAGAGTGACACACCGGTTCATAGGCCTACAGAAACAGTTTGGAGTGAAACAACTGACGTCTTCTTGATGAGTCTTGAACTTCCTCAGCGTTTCCTGTCTACTTTTGCTGCTTAAATATGATCAATATTTGCTGCACTGACTTTATCGCAAATATGTTTAAAATTACTGACAGTGCAGGTTTCTAAACCAGAGAAAATTTGCTTGAGTGGTTGGCGGGAGGATGATTTTGTGTACATGCAGATCATCAGTCATATAAGAAAAAGAAAATTGAATTTAAGAAGTGATTACTAATTTAGAAAAGGGGACGTGTGCATGCCGGTGAAATCAGTAGTGTGTGAGGTTTTACCACCATGACTGTATGGGTTCAAAATTAGTATGTCTGACTAAATGACATGGCATAACATAACAAACCAAAAGCGGGTGCCTGGAAGGGACAGCAGAGAGTGAATAACTGCAGAGCCCAGCTGCACCGAATTAGTCACCTGCAGAGGAGAGATCGGCACAGACACTCCCAGGTGATATCCCAGGGGCCAACACAATATGCAAAGCTGTTTTTAATATTTTGACCCCTGATCCATGTAACTATAGAGAACACCTCGTAGTATAATTATAGTGCAGTGCAACACCATATTTAAACTATTAGCTTAGTAATAAGGTTGCTTTTATGGCAAACCTGTTGTACTGAATTGCATTAAAGTTCCACATCAAAGTGTGATGGACAATTGTTCTTTCAGCAACTGAATCAGGGGTACCATTACACCCCTTGGTGGCGCCCCTGCCTTTGAAGCAAATTTGTGATTTGTGATATTGGGCTATATAAATAACACTGACTTAAAATAAAAATAGATGGAATTAAATAAAAAATAATCTGCAATGAGCTCTATCACTGTGAAAATAAGTAGGATGAAATAACATGTCATGAGATTTGAGAATATATTAAATTTTCATGGCCATATATCTGTGTCCATATGAGTAAGGTAAGATTTATTTATATTCTTTATTGATTCCACACTGGGGAAATTCACTGGCTACAGCAGCTCCGGCTACAGCAGCTCCAGATACAACACAGTAGATAAAAAAAATATAAGATATAATAGAAAGTTAGTATAAGAGTTATATGTCCACTATATACAGCTTATATACAGATGTGACTGATATGGAACATTGCACAGGTTACAGCAGGAGGTAGTGGCATGGTGTCACTATAAATATAATTGCACAGGACAAAAAATATATACAGCTGTGTAATTTAAAGTAAATACACGTTATACATTTCTCTCTTCTTTTTTTAAACTTGATTAAGTGTCTTCAATTAGCAATAAATGTATCCAAGCAGCAAATAAACAGAAAAGGGAGATGAAAGGAAAACAAATAACCACAACAAAATAAATAAAAAACATCAAAATAAATAAAAAACAACAAAATAAGTTAAATTTAGTTGACTTAAAGGGGGTTTAATTAATTAATAACGTAGTTGTTCATCTGTTGTTCTTAAGGCACTTCTCTTTTCCAGTTGTCTTATGCATTTAATTAAAATCTTCATGTCTTTTATAAATGCCACAAAGCGTGGAGCAACTTTAAAAAATCTACACTTGTGAATGTAAAATGTACATATAATAAAAATGTTATTACATAAAAATTCAACATCTTTTGCATAAAACACTAAACTAAACAGTATGATATTCAGAACCAGGTATTCCATTATTTGTGTATTTGTTTATTGTTGGTGGGTCAACATATTTGTACAATGTGTTGCAATATTTGTACATTTGAAATTTAATCAATAAAAACCAAAAAACTTGTGTCTGTGCTCAGCCAGTGCAGGATGGAATAGACGCTGTGGGTGTCGCAGTAACAGCGCCAGCCCTCAGGGTGGCAGCAAAACTCCCTCCGTGCCACCGTGCGTCGACAAAGAACAGCAGGAAAACCGTAAATTGCCTGTTTACTTTGCTTTACGTCCACCGACGGTCGGTTGCCGGTAAAACGGGGCAGGGCCAACGCTTTCCGTCAAGCTAGCCAGAGTTTGACACTCGGAAAAGATAGCCCGCCTTCAGAATGAACGCGCCGCCGCCGCTCGGAGCTCATTAACTATCAGTCCTCCGGTAACGAGCAGTTTGTTTTGGACGCACTGGCCGGAAGTTGCGTGTGTGTGTAACTCCCGGTGGTTTGACAGTGAGTGCACATCATAACGCTTGGCTGGATATAAAGCAGAAACGTACGGTAACGGTACATGTATGTGATTCTAAAAACACAGAAGGAACCGTGGAATTGAACCCATATGGATCCCAACCGGATAATCCAGGCTCTGAAGGGGACCATCGACCCCAATCTGAGGATAGCGGCGGAGAATGAACTCAATCAGGTGGGTGAGCTAGCTAAAGTAGTTTTTTTGTTTTGTTTGTTTTTTCCGGGTGGGAGGCATCATGGAACGGTTTGGCCCAGACATTACACCGGTGTTCGTGGAGGAAGGCAGGCCGTGTTTTTGTGCTGTAGCTCGGCGTCGGCCTGGTGCTTGTCCGGCCCCCGGCTTTGGGACTTTCTGTCCGGCCTGTGGTCGGGAGTTGGGCTGAAACTGTTCCCCACACACTGACTCCAGGCAGCAGCCTTCGAAGAACAATGGGAGTCAGATCTGACAGCCATCATGGACCATCAGGAGCCGGGCTAAACTTTCCCCTGTCAACGCTGGAGTTGACAGGAACCCCTCCAGAGCTCTGCTGCTGTAGTTCACAGTGCTGCTGTTGCCCTGAATTCATGGGTTCAGCTAATAACATAACAAATGATCAATAGAGGCTTAATAAAAAGATCAGGGCCCCTAAATAATTGATTAATGAAAATGTGAATTGATTATTGCATAATTTGGTTCAGGCTTAATGCCTTTTTGTTTTTTAGAATTATTTTATGTAAAGAAATAGTTCTATGTTCGAAAAATGTCCTTATATGATTTCACTTTCACCTATATGATAGTCTAGTTACTACTTACTTAATAGAGCTCTCCACGTAGGTGTGTCTATGACTCTTGAAATTCAGCCACTCTGCTATAGGTCAGACTTTGCCTTTCATTCCAGCAAGTAGATTATTTATACATAGATAAGAGTCTCCTGTGTGTGTGTGTGTGTGTGTGTGTGTGTGTTTCAGTCGTACAAGATCATCAACTTCGCCCCGACCCTGCTCCAGATCATCGTCTCGGAGCAGGTGGAGTTTCCTGTTCGCCAGGCAGGTAAGACCCCAAAACAATACTGCTCATGTTTTATTTATGCTCCAATGTGGATCCAGAGTCAGTATTTATAAGGATAATACTGACACAGCTTTGGCTGAGGTCATTCTACCATGTAAGGTTCATATTGAGAAATGTTTACAAAGAAATATAATTGCTGCTGTTCATAAGGAAAGTGTATCAAGCTCACTGTGATGTTTGTTTAGTTTGTGACATTCATACATCATTTCTGTGTTTTTTTTTGTGAATTGAGAGTTGGTTTTTTTTGGAATCAAAGAGATGTAGACAAACAGCCATCAACACAGTAGCAACAATAAATGACCCACAAAAACATATATAAGGTCACTCTAAGTCACTGTAATAAATCCAAATGAAAACGCATGCTCACACCTAGTCATATATGTGTAATATACATAAACCTACACACAGCTTACCTACAACCTACCTTTCAGCAAGATATCCCAGGAGAATATATAGGTACCTCACACTCTGCTTGAAATGCACAACTCATAAAAAGTAATACTGACATAGATTTAAAGCTTTAGTATTTTATTACTATATCTGTCTGTATAATATCCTAAAATACCAAATTCCACATTTACAGCAGTTGGACACTTTCTATACTTTCCTGCTTGACAGCGTCCTTACAGTCTGTTTAAAATAGATGAGGTATGTGTTTTATGTTATGTGTATATTTTCCTGCCATCACCTCATTAAAAGATAGGTCTAACAAATCCCATGAAAACACCAAAACCATGTAACATTTTTCTTTTCTTAATTTATGAATTGATTTAAAATTTAACCGGATCATTTACAGACAAGGTGTCGTAGACAAGTTGCTCTCTATTGTTTTTATCAAATGTTATTCAAACAGTAGGAAAGTTGTGCATTTGTTGGGGACTGTTTTCAGCGGTGGATTAATTCAGGTTTGGTGCTCTGGTGAGTATTTATGGCAACAAAATGTATTTGACAATAGAGCTCTGTGGCACAGGAAGAATATGTATCAAGCTTTGATACATACAATACTTGTTCATTCAGTCTTTAATGAGATTTGTTGACAATAAGA